CTGCAGGAAGGATGGACGCGCGCGCGCGCGCACACACACACACACACACACACACACACACACACACACACACACACAAAAGGACCTTTTGTGGAGAAGTAAAGGATGATTATCTCTCCAGGTCTATGGGGAAGCTCCGTCCACAGATCTGTGAACTCATCCTGAGTCTCTCAAAAAACTGGTAACGAGTCTTGATGAGGAAAAGATCCTGGGATCCTGCAACTCAAATCTCAACATACAGCAGGAGGAAAACTCCTCCTTCTGAAGCCCTGAGAGGAGCAGAACATTACTCTAGGTGGGAAATATGGAAGGATATAGACATGGATGATTCAGTATGTGTAGGGTCTCAGCTCTGAGAGATGCCATTTTGGTGCTGAGGCTCATGTGAGTAGACTACAGGTCCTAGAGAGTAGAGGAAAGAAGCTGGGAAGTCTTCCTGTTCCAGATCACAGAGTAGGGCCAATTTAGTTCCTTCTGGAGAAAAAACTGCCCAAAGAACACTAAACACTAACCCTATGCCTAAGGGACTGCAGAACTGGAGATCTGAAGCCCTTTGGGAAAACAAATTATTCCGGGAATCAGTCTGAACAGAACCAGAGAAGTTTATATTAACAGCCCAGTATTTTTTCTACCCTTGAAATCCAGTGATTTTTGCGTTTTCTTTTCTTTGAGAAAGTGAGTTCTATTATTGCTACTATTTAAACATCTCTTCTTGCCACCATGTCCCAGAGCTGCAAAAAAGAGGCTTAGGAGCAAGTTGGTACCAGAAACAAGCCAACAAGATCCATTATAGCTGAAGTTTCACTTTCTGAGGCAATGGAGTCGTTGGAAGGTGGAACTCCAGAAGTGGTAGAACCAAAGGAGGTAGCTTCCTAGTGCATTTTGAAGGACAATGTAGAAATGTGAGTTTAACTCCATTCAAACTACTACTTCGATGTGTGCAGGTTTTCAGAACTCAGCTGTAGTCATCACAACACATGAACAGTTTGTTTTCTATGGTTTTAGGAAGCTTGTACTACTGCTTCTCAGGCTGAACTTGTTTTATGGCTAACAGGAGATTTTCCAGCTCCACTGCCTTTCGCATGCACAAAATGTCCTTACAGACAAGCAAACAAAAGCATTTAGCTGTTGTTGACTGTTATGTTTTGGTCACACACATGGCAATACATTAAAGTGGCCATGCATTTCTCCCTTTTTGATTCTATTTTAAAAAATTATATTCTCAATCAAAGCCATTCTTTATCTTTGAGTCACTGTGACTGTCTTATATAGGATCAGGAGGGTCCATGTAACTTCAGTACCAGTCTCCTGGTAGTAGGGAGTTGAGAAAACTCAGCAGCCCCTTACTTCTTTTTCATGGGACACTTGTTACAAGCATCCTCATCCCCCTCCGTGCTTCTCTCAGCCTTGTGACTATCTTTCCAGTAGTACTAGTGGGGGCAGTTGATTTCTTTTGATGGTGGCCCTTTAAAAGTTGTCACTTCCCCTATAAAGACCACAGCCACCAGCAGTGTTCCCTCTAACATTTTTTATCCGTGGGTGGGTTGAATTTTCTTTTGGGAAAGTTGAAATTTCTTATGTGCAACACCAATATTGAGGTAGTGGGTGGATGTGCACCACCGATACAAACAAAATAGCCCCCCCAAAAAAACTCAAAGGCTATGTCTACACTGGCCCCTTTTTCGGAAGGGGCATGCTAATTTTGAAAGTGGGAATAGGGAAATCCGCGGGGGATTTAAATATCCCCCGCGGATTTAAATAAACATGTCCGCCGCTTTTTTTCCGGCTTGGGGAAAAGCCGGAAAAAAAAGCGTCTAGACTGGCCCGATCCTCCGGAATAAAGCCCTATTCCGGAGGATCTCTTATTCCTACTTTGAAGTACTTGCTACTTCTGACTCATAAGAACCATAACTCAACCATATAGCAAAAGATCTGGCCTTAATGCAATACAATTTACCATGTGTTAATTAGTAACACAGGGTTTTTTAAAAAAATCATTAAGATAAGAGTTTTAGATATCTGCCTCACTCAAAAAAAAAAATCTGTTAAAAGAATTTTTCTTTCTTATTTTAAGCCATTAACACCTATGTAAACTTTGTTTGAAAGGCAATCATGCAAAGGTCCTTCTAGTAACCTCCCCATGCAGTCTGCTTCTCCCCCCAGCCCTTCCAACCCAGTCAGGCAAGGACTGCAGTGAGTCAGGACACTCCAAACAAACTCCCCCTTTCACCTCCACCTCACTCCACAGATGCCAGCACCCACCCACCCCGTTTTCCCCACCTACCCCTGTGCTATCTGCTCCCCCCAGCCCAGGTGGAGGCTGGGATAAAATCCTGCTTCTCAAACTAGCAGGCACAGCAATCTGTCCTGTCCTAACTCCAGCTAAAGCACAAATTATCCACACCTCCCTCATTCACAGCACAAACTCACTACCCTCCTGCTTCCACCTCATCCCAATGCTAGCACCCATCCACCCCTTCCCTTCCGTCCACCCCACCTGCCCCATGCAGTCAGCCTCTTATCTCCCCCTTCCCAGGAGGCTTGAAAGTGCTGAGTTTCTGAAAAGACCAACTCTCTGCTGATGTGTATGTCTGGCAAGAAGCCAGAACTATAACTATGGTGGTGTAAACATGCTGGAAGTAGAATGCTTTGTTTTGCAAAACAAAACCTGCTCCCCAGATTCTCCATTGACCTGTAAGCATGGGCACAACACTCTCCTCTCTGGAGCTGAAGGTTTTCTATGACCAGTTAAAGACTGGATTTTAAGCTACAAAAAATGCAAAATCAAAAAACCAAAACCCCAAATTGATAAAAGGAGCGATGGAGATCTTGCATTGATCTCAAGCTAGAAACTATTTTTGTATTAAAATTGCTCTTAGCTTGGGAGCCTGTATCTTAAAAATTATAGTCAAAAAAGAACTTGTAAGGTACTAATCAAGTGAGAGGTAACTAGTGGTGTCCCCTAGGGTCTGTAATAGGGATGCTACACCTATGCTCATTGGGTAGTTGACTACTCACTCTCCCCTGCCCCGGGGGGGCAGCAGCCAGTTCTGAGGAGAGCCAGCTTCAAAGTCCCTCAGCACCATCTCCATAGGCAGTAGGGAGGATGGGGAGGCTGCTCTAGCAGCACCTCTGTTCGTGCTCTGGCTGCTTATACGACATTTAAAATGCACTCAGAGCTGGCACAAGTCCCATCTCGAGCCAGCTTCTGGAGTTACTCTTGCTGTGGCTCTGCAAAGGGGTCCCTATCAACTAATCATGTAGTCGATACAAATTGTATCAACTATATGATTAGCCAGATAACCACAATCCTTAGTCTGTACTGGGACCAATTCTATGCAACATAGTCATAAATGAGAGAGGGGTAAACAGTGAGGTGGCAAAAACTGCAGATACCAAACTGCTCAAGACAGTTAAGTCCAAAGCAGACTATGAGGAGCTTCAAAAGGATCTCACAAAAAACAGCAGATAATTTTAATGATGTGCATGCAAATTAATGTATATTGGAAAACAAACCCAACTATACATATAAAATCATGGGGACTAATTTAGCTGTTACCACTCAAGAGAGAGCTCTTGAAGTCATCGTGGATAAGTCTGTGAAAACATCCACTCAGTTTGAAACAGCAGCCAAAAAAGCAAAGAACCTATTAGGAGTAATTAAAAAGGGATAGAGAATAAGACAGAGAATATCTTATTGCCTTTATATAAATCCATGCTATGCCCACATCTTGACTACTACATGCAGATGTGGTCACCTCATCTCTTGAAAAAAAGATACCTTGGCACTCAAAAAAGTTCAGAAAAGGGCAATAAAAATGTTTAGGAGTATGGAATGGCTGCCGTAAGAGGAGAGATTAATAAGACTGGGACTTTTTAGTTTAGAAAAGATGACACTAAAGGTGGGGAGGAATATGATAGAGGTCTATAAAATAATGGCTGGTGTGGAGAAAATAACAAGCAAAAGTTATTTATTTGTTCCCATAACACAGGAACAAGGGGTTACCAAATAAAATTAATAGGTAACAGGTTTAAAAACAAACAAAAGGGAGTATTTTTTCATACAGCACACAGTCAGCTGTGGAATTCCTTGCCACTGGATGTTGTGAGGATCAGGACTTTCACGGGGTTCAAAAAACAGCTAGATAAATTCATGGAGAATAGGTCCATCAATAGCTATTAGCCAGGATGGGCAAGAATAGTGTCCCTAGCCTCTGTCAGAAGCTGGGAATGGGAATAGGGGATGGATCACTTGATGATTCCCTGTTCTGTTCATTCCCATTGGGGCACCCAGCATTGGCCACTGTCGGAAGAGAGGACACTGGGCAAGTTGGACCTTTGGTCTGACACAGTATGGCCATTCTTATGTTCTTAATAAGCTCTGACTTATGGAGATGCTGTTCGTGGTTTTACATGAAAACCATAGTATATTTAAAAACTGACTGTAAAACACACAACATATTACAATGGTAAGCAACAGACATGGACTGAAAAGCAAAGAGAGTTTTAAGTGAGCACTCACATTTAACTGATGCTTTCAGTTTGTGTATTTCAATATCCCAAAGATTCTCAACATTTTTCCAGAGAGTGGGCAATAATTTAATAGACAGAATGTTTCATGAACACCTGCCCTATCATTTCCAACTGCATAATATTCCAGTAGCAACTAAGGAGCATAGTTTGAGAACCACTGTGATTTATCACAATTATACTGGGCTCTGGATGCAATTTGAGCCAAAACTCTACTTCCTTGCTTTTTGTGGTTTTGAATTATTCTTTATTGTTCCAAGAATACAGATTGTGGCTTTATTTAACAAGCACCATAAATCTACAGTTTGCAAAGAAATTATTTAACCATTTAACACTTACTTTAATTCTTTCTTAACCTCTTCATAGTCAGCCTGTCCTTTCAGTTTTTCTTCCAGTTGCTTAAAAAGAGAGAAAAATGTAATTATTTTGATTTTTTTGTGGGGCAAAGGGGTAAGCTTTCAAAATACCCTTTAAATTATTTATTTGATACAACAAATGCATGAGTCTAGACATACCAGATACCGAATTTACATATAACAGAAAACAAACAATAACTAATCCAATTAAACCAAATTGCCATTGATGCTCTTTTCCTTGTTTACAGAGCACCAAGCATTCATTCATTGGACAGTTGACAATGTGACAATTTATGTAATGCAATAGAGTTACAAACAGATTGTGGGACAAATGGTAAAACTTTGACAAAGCTATTAAGAGTAAAAAAAAGTAGTAGTATTTTGGCACATGCTGCACTACTATTGTACAGTTCTGTCTACGTTCAAGAAGTTATTGACCACAGTGCTTTAGGCTTGCAACACTTGTTCAATGCCTTCTGTCCAAATGAACAGCTGTAGAAAGTGTGTTACAAGCATTACTTATTGCAATAACTAATATGATTAAACACGGAAGAGGATCCAATAAGACTGCACCACAGACTTGCTGAGCAGATCTTTTACACAGGTCTAGCTAAGCTGCTGCAGTTGTACTGGTTTGCCTTCAGTGTGGAGAAGAAGCCACAAGCACTGACTAGGGATATGAAAACAGAGAAGTGGTGAAATGCTAGCAGTTAACCAGATCATTTTATTTTGGGGCCTAGCATACTGGCTTCCTACTGCCGCGGAATCCTGTTGGCCCCTCTGTGGTCAGAGCTGCTGTGGTCCGACATGGCTGGCTGTTGCCAGAGTTCATCAGCAAAGGCTGGTTAACTGGTTAGCATACGCATAAGCCTCATGCTTACCAGTAAACCATTTAACATCCCTAGTGCTGATCTTCCTTACACAACCCACAATACAATGCCATGAATTTGGACATTACCCAAAAGTCAGTGCCCATCACTGTAGGATAAATGCTCCCTAAACTCTAGTGTTATGATTACTGTTCCCAACAAAGCTGTTTGCAGATGCTACATTACTGGTAGACACTGTACAAAGAACTAAAAATACAGTCTAAGCCCCAAAAGAGCCTACAATCTAAATAGATTCCTTGCTTACTATAGATACATCTTAGCCACGCAAGAGAATATCAAGAGAACTGATTTGGCTTACAATATCCACAGAAGCTGGGAGTGCTTTATTTGACTGACTTAATTTTTGTCCAGCTAACTGATCCAAAATGATAACGAAGTATCTGAAGTAAAAATAAATAGGCCCCCTCCACTCCTGCAACTTTGAGAGTAGCAGTGCTATTTTGAAGCATGATGTAGCGAAAGCCAATATATTTACAGCGATAAAGTATAATGTGGCATGAAACAACAATATACTGTGCCAATTTTCCATGCACTGAAAATGTGAGGGCAAAATCTGTACAGAATCCAAAATCTCACTAAACGTCAAACTATTTCTTTTCTTCACTGAACAAATCTACAGTAACAAGAAAAGGCACAAAACAAACTTAACAAGTAAGACAATCAAGAGAAACATATCAGATGGAAAGAGGGTAGAAATGACCAATCTTACAAAGCAACAACTGAAACAGGAAATAATCTTACAACACTCTTTGCTGCTTTACATAATGCAGAATCAACCTGTGGAACTCCTTCCCAGAGGCACTCATGAAGAACAGGTCTTCCACAGGGTTCAAAAAGAGCTAGATAAATTCATGGAGGATAGGCCAATCAATAGCGTCTCTAGCTTCTGTTCATCCGAAGCTGGGAATGCACAACAGGGGATGGTTCACTTGATGATTTCCTGTTTTTGTTCATTCCCACTGAGGCACCTGGCATTGGCTACTGTCAGAAAACAGGCTACTGGGCTAAATGGACCTTTGGTCTGACCCAGTATGGCTGCTCTTATATAACATTAGTTAAATATAAATGCCTCAACAGATTGGATAACTTATCACCTGAGGCTATGTCTAGACTACATTCCTCTGTCAAAAGAGTAATATAAATGAAGAAAATCAAAAGTGCAAATGAAGCGGAGATTTAAATATCCCATGCTTCATTTGCATATTAGCATCCGATCGGTGTTTCAAAAAAGGGTTTTTCAAAAGGAAAACTACAGTCTAGACAGGGTTCTTTTGGAAAAAAAAGAACTCTTTTTCGAAAGAACCTGTACTCCTGAGTACGTGTTCTTTCAAAAAAGGGTTTTCTTTTCCCCTAAAGAACCCTGTCTAGACTGCGGTTTCACTTTTGAAAAACCCTTTTTTGAAACACCGATTGGACGCTAATATGCAAATGAAGCGCAGGATATTTAAATCTCCATTTGCTCTTTTGATCAGCCTCATTTACATTCCCTCTTTCAGAAGAGGAATGTAGTTTAGATGTGACCTGAGTAAATGGATAGTTCTGCTGACTTTAATGAGACTTCTTCAGAGGGTAAAACTAGCATAACCAGGACTGAAGAAAAGAATGTCCAACTCAGCAATGAACTCCTCATCTCTGGTTCTCATGCCTACCAAAGAAACTAAACGGAAGTAGCCATATTTTCCATTTGACTCAATCTGCATTTTTTTCAACCACACAACATGCATTTATGTGCATTAATAAGAAAAATCTCAAAATTCAAAAGGATCTAAGGATAATTCAGACAATCTAGCAAAATATTCGCACTTGCATCCAGAAGCAGAACTTTTTCTTCTAGAACTCCAACGTGGAATGTACCCTTTTTTTTTTTTTTAATGCAAACTTTCACCATCGCTCAGGCCAGGCATTTCTGGTTGTAATTTCAGCCCCTCCTGGCATGTCAATTATACTGTAACCTATGTTCTCAAGATTTGGAAATTCTCTGAAAAACAAAAATGTAGGAACAGAAAATGGCTGCCTGATTCATCATGCTGCACGCTTTTAAACACATCTTTCTGCTGTTCGATATCATAATGTTCAATCCTCATAGCCTCCTTGGTATTTCTTAGGCTATCCGATTCAAATGTTCTTTCTTATAATGCATTTCATACCTATTTCTGTGTACCTGAAATATTTCTGTCCCTTTCCTTTTTTTACCCTTAATTTCCACATTGTAAAAATATGACAGTTTGATCAATTTTGCTGCAATGGCAGTGGCAATGAAAAAGAAACTATCCCATCCTATTAAAAAACAAACAACCCAGAAAAAAGCAGCACAAGATGCTATTATGATATCCACTCAACAAGCAATAAGTTCTAACAAATTATCAGCACTGTGAATTCCAGGAAAGCAGAGTGAATTTTAACTTGTGGAACTCACAGCTCCAAGGATATTAATGAAGAGAGTAGTTTCTTGTGAAGTTAAGAGAATAGAAAATAGGAACATGAATAATCTTTACAGTTATTCTAGTTATGTGAAAAATAATAATGGCTATTGGAGTTAAAAAAACCTTCTACAGTAAATGTGATAAAGTAAGGCACACTTTGGAGCTTTCCTCTGAAGCTGCCAATAATAGCCATTAATGAAGGAACCACACGCAAACTAGAAGGAATAGGACACTAGATTTTGTTCTTGTACAGCAATAACATTTTTTACTCCCTCAAATATCTTCCATGCCGTTCAGAAGAAAAACTTGAAGGATTTCCTGTACATTTTAAACCAGCTCTGCACAGAATGCCATCTCTTTACAAAGTGTGTTCCACATCTGTGTAATCCTTACGTCCAAGGTGAAGCCAGCGACACTTCAGTTCCTTGAGTCATTCGTTTGACCAATTGTTCATATTACAGCTTGAACACAAAGGAAAGTGGCCTTAGTGTACCAGGGAATCTGGCTCAACGTTTACAAACCTGACCGCCCCTGAGGGTCAGGGAAAGATACACCTTTCCAGCTCTGCCATTGGGCTTACTGAGAGAGCTGCTGAATCAAGACATCACACTTGGGCCATGTCTCTTTGCCAGCCATTTCTAACAACTTTTTTTGATCCTTCTACAGCCAACACCTCATAACTGATACATTTATGTGATTTAGAACCTGGGGGAGAGGAGGAGGGGCATTACAATCCATCCCTCTTTTGATACTAGCTCCAAGATCCACACATTTTGTGTTATCATATGACATACAGAGACAATCAAAATGTAGATGATTTCGACTGGCTATAAGTTTGACAACAGAAAGCCATATGACAGAATGAAAATAGGGCCATTAATACCAATCTGGTTATTGTGCTAGTTACTATTGCAGGGATATGCTAAGCAGAAAGGCTTTCTTTATAGGAATACTTGTCAAATATAGGTTTTTTTAAAGTTTTTCCAATGACTTCCACTTGTAAGCTAGCCTTAATGTAAGTGTAGTTTTATACAGGTATATTTCAGAAGGTTTTTAAGTATAGCTCTGTGATTGTTACCACAGCCCAAGGCTACAAATCATTATCTACAATTTTTGTTTTCTATGTGAAGCTGTCTCCCTTGCAGCCTCAAACCTACAGATCAATCTTATAAACAGGATGGTTACACTGGAAGATAGTGAACACTACAATGAAGCATTTATACCCATTGGTCCCAAATGAATGATTGAAACCCCATAATAAATACAGAGATTGCTGCCAAGGAAATTCTGCACTTTTTACTTTTAGCAAAAAATGCAAATAAGCACATCTGACAATACAATCTGTATGTAATCAGACCATTTAGGTATTTGTCATCTCCCCGGCCAATCACTATTGTAAAACATATTGGTGTGCTAATTGTCTCAACCCTGTAAAAAGCACAGCACAAAGCATAATAAAAGGTTTAAACTGTGAAACAGTCCGAAGGAACTAATCTCTTGATCTAAATATCAAGCTGGTTAATTCATACAAAATAAAATGTATTCTACTGTCCCACAAAGTCTAAAAATACTCCACTCAGAAGTATACAAATGTGCTGGAGGCAGTGAAAAATATTTCTTCAAAGTACTTTAGGAAGCACTAGCTGATTAAGAAATCAACTTGCATTTCTTATACAAAAGAACATTAAAATACCAAGTTTCAGAGAATCTACTAGATTGGACCTATTGC